TTTCTTTTTATTTTTTGGCGTTGATACGCGCCTGTCTTCGGTGTCCCACGGCACACACTCTGCTCTACTTGCTAGAGTTGCCACAGGTTCTTACAAGTCCTATCAATCAGGCAAACCGAATCCGGGTCCTCTCTTCGCCATGTTGTGAGGAGGTTTTTAGGCACTGATGCGTGCCTGTGTTCGGTGACCTGCAGCTCACACTCTGGTTGAGCCGCTTGCTGGTGCTTACCGCCTTAATCAGGCAGACCGAATCCAAGCCTCCTAATTGCTGTATTGTGGGGAGGCCTTACTGATGTTAATTCGTGCCTGTCTTCGGTGACCTGCGGCGCGTAAGCTGCTAGCCGCCCGCAGGTGCTCATCGCCTCACTTAATCAGGCAGACCAAATCCAAGCTCTCACATTGCAGTGTTGTGGGGAGGCCTTATTGATGTTAATTCGTGCCTGTCTTCGGTGACCCGCGGCGCATAAGCTGCTAGCCGCCGCAGGTGCTCATCGCCTCACTAATCAGGCAGACCGAATCCAAGCTTTCTCATTGCCATGTTGAGGGGAGGCCTTTCTATTTCTCTATCTCCGGGCATTCCTATTTCTCCCATTTTACTTCTATCTTCCAGCATTCCTATTTCTCTCATTTTACTTCTAAACTTCTGTTTCTCTTATCCCTGCGGCTTCCCGGCGGCGCTCGCCCCGAGGCTGCTTCTCGGCACCTCGCCCCGCGGCAGCTTCACGGCTCTGCGCAGCTTCCCGGCGCCTCGCCCCGCCGGCGGGTTCCCGGCTCTGCGCGCACGCTCTGCGGTCTCCATGCACTTCGTGCCCGCACCACGGCCTCGCGCCAGTCCCGCATTCCCTATCTATTCATGCCCCGTGCTCTCTCTGCACGCGGCGGCTTCCGCGAATGTTTCTGCCACCACCGGCATTCAGTCCAAGTTCCCCGGACTAACCTGGCGAATCCTGGCGGCCCACGTCTCTGCCTCTGGTTCCAGATCTTCGCCTCTTGCTCCCCGGGGTGACTTGAAGAATTCCAAGGTGGCTTATGTCTCCGCCTCGGCCTGCACTCGCAGCTTCATCCTCCCTAACATTTTTCTCTACCCGGTATGTTTCCTTAAGTTTTCTTCCAACAATATTCCTCTCATTTCTCCTGGCTTCTCCCCACAGTCCGTATCCGAGTCCAAGCCTCCTCCAGGTTTCACTTTCGCTTTCAATCTCCTAGCTTCCCCGCCATAGTCCGCATCCGAGTCTATGAAAGCTTTCACTTCCGCTTTCAATCCTAACTTCTTTCCCACAGTCCATATCCGAGTCTATGCCTAGGCTTTCAATAGCTTCTTCCGGCACCTTTTTCGTCCGGCTTTTCCCTAGGCTGTTTGCTAGTCTCTCTCTCCGGTATTTTCCCAGTTCTTCCCGTTTCTTCCCTCCTAGGTTTCATATCCGTCCTAAGTTTCCTATCCGTCCTAGGTTTCCTATCCAAGTCACGGCACCATTATGTTGCTCCCCATTTTCGTGGAGGAGCGACACTAAACCCTGCCTAGGCTTCATATCCGAGTCACGGCACCATTATGTCGCTCCCCCTCTTCGTGGAGGAACGACACAGGACCCTGCGCTGTTCTTTCGTCTGCTCGGCCCTCCCCGGGTTTGCTGCTGGTTCTTCCCAGGTTGGCTGCTGGTCCTTCCACCTCCGTGGAAGGGCGGTTCCCCCTGCCACATTCCCCACTTCCGCAGGGGAGCGGCACACCGCCGGCCGGCTCTCTCGGGGGCTGCACAGGTGTTCCTTCAGATGTTCCTCTTAGATGTTCCTGGTGCATGCCGTCTCTCTCCTCCTTTATAGTCCTCCTCTGCCAATCCCAACTCGGCTGCCCACACGCCGAGTACGCTGCTCTCCTCCAATCAGGAGCAAGTCCTGCTGTTTATTGGTTGAACTGGAGGCAGCTGTGCAGAAGCTGTTTTCTCCTCTCCCAGCGCCATATTGTGGGAGAGCAGATGCATAGAATAAGTCTTAATTCCAGTAACTTAGTCTAGTCCGGATTGCTCCCCACACCATAGCCTTGGCAGCTCATGACAAGAGCCTAGGGTGATTACTGAGGCCATAAGCAAGAGTGTCAATTTGTTAAGTCAACAACAGGAGTCACTGTGCACTTACTCCTCATGTAGGATCTCTGTCCTTAGTGTGCTGTACATTGAGATCTAATGCTATAACTAGTACTCAAACAGTATTTTTCAATTTATGTTTCTGTGTGGGAGCAAACTGTTGAAATCTTTACTTATTGTATGCTAAACTGATCTTCTGTATATAAAGAGAATCGAAAATGAATCTTGATGTGAATGGAAGGGGAGAGGGAGCGAGAACGGGGAGGGTTGTGGGAAGGAGGGCAGTTAGGGGGGGGGGAGGCATTGTAATCCATAAGCTGTACTTTGGAAATTTATATTCATTAAATAAAAGTTAGAAAAAAAAGAAAAAAAAACTTGAAATGAATCTTTTGAAACCTAAAGAGAAAGGAAAATACAGATGAATCCAGGGAGAGAAACAATGCATTACTAACAGAGGAATACCGATTTGAATGATTACAGATTTCTTTCTCAGTTAAAATCTTAGGAGTGAAAAGCAAGAGGCATGAAAGGTAGAATTGTCACCCATAGATACTACACCCAGTGAAAACATTCTCAAGAATAAAGAGAAAATAGAACCATCTTCAGATGTAATCAAAGTAGCAAATTTTATTATCAAATTTAACTATAATAATGACTAGGGATTTTTTAAATAGAAAAATGATAGAAGAAAAAATGCTTGGAATTTCAGAAAAAGATAAAACATTTTCAGAATGAGTAACATAGACTACACAATTCAACTTCTCATGGATTTCCTGAACCATATTTAAAGGTTGAATTAAAAGTATAGCATGATTAGGCGTGGAAAAATAATTAAAGCAATCATATTTCAAAAGTGTTGAGTTACAGAGGACTGTAAAGGTAAGCAAAGTTCCTGTACTCCACTGTAAGTGGTAAAACCTCACTGCCAGCATACAGGGATAAGCAGAGTAACCATTAAGAAAATTATACAAAACAAAATACTCAAAAACTGTACAAACATCAGGATCGAGCCTTCAAAATTTCAAATAATTAGAGAGGAATAATCAAATAGAGGAATAAGCAACAGAAAAAATTTAGACAGAATATTCAAAATAACAACTTCCCTGATATTCTAGGGCCGTTTGGTTTGAAGTTATCATACTTTATACACTTGTACAATTTCATGACTTTGATATTATTTTGAAATTAACTATTTGACTCAAAGTGGCTAAGCTTCAAGAGAGTAAAAAGCACTTTTTTGTAATCATCTCTTTATTGTGGATGCAATATCATTTAATTTCTAGCAAAGGGTCCATCCAGATGACATAAAGAGTGGCTCCTGAAGGGAAAGATTTGTCCTTTCACAATCCTATCATCAATCTGCTTCCACCAATTAATCTAAGTAAAAATATTTTGCATGCTATTCAAATGCAACTTCAAGAGAATTCCCCTAACCCCCTTTTATAAAACAGTGTTAACACCTCGGATTTTCACATATAGAAATCCATAATTCTCAATATGTCAATTAGGTTTTTTTGCATGTGTTCTAGCATGTTTTGGAATGTTTCTTACTTCCTATTGAATGGGTTTTTATAGTCAGTTATAAATATGTTGAGATTTATATCACAAATGACAATCTCTGTTACAAATTTGAAGTTCCTACATATAATATGTGAAAAGATGGATTGCATTACCTAGTTTCACTTTGTTAATTTAGCACTATTTTTTCACTTCTTCCCATTAAATTTGATGAAGTAGAATTCAGTTATCTATGCTTTTGTCTGAGCTTTTAATATAGGTTAGTAGCTGAAATAAAAACAAACAGTTTGAAGAGAGAACAATGGCCAAAGAAGCAGATGCTGCATAAATTTGGGATGATTGCTGTTAATTTTTTATAGTGCATACTTCTATTGGATTAAAAAATGCTTTTTATTATACACTAGCAAACACTCTTTAACAGGAACTGTATGATGTGCTGTTCTTTGATTTCGTCTTTTATTTAAGATCTTTCCTTTAAAAGCCTCACTATTTGTTTTTCCTTCCATGGCAAAAATTTGTAATTTTGTTATATCTATTGTCTACTGATACAAGGCTTGAATTTGGATTAGGTTCCTTTAAGCTGCAGATTTTGAATTTTCCTATTAGCTATTTTATTAGAGTCCAGGCATTATGACAAGAGACAATGTACATCCTAGCATTCCATTTCTTGAGTACACCCAGCATGCACTGTCTATAGTTCTTTGTTCTAAGGTCACATCTACAAAATTGCCTTATATCATTATTACACTTGATCTTAGCCAAAAGGCCGAGAAGCAATTCCTTAAATCCTTATTAAAAAATAATAATTTACCATTGATATCTACGTTTCTGCTTGCCTTAATTCAGTCATATTTGAAATATAATGTATTTCTGTATTGTGTACTTTGCCCCTGTAAAATACAAGCTCTTTGAGATCAGTTACATTGTCTGCATGATTTAGCTCAGTACAAAGAAAGTGTATCTTATAGGTGTCTGATAAATAAATTGTTTAATTGGTACCAAGCCTTTTGAGATTGCAGGAACAAAATTGTTTCCAGGTTCCTTGTTTTATCTTTTTGTTTTCACAGGCTTGGTTAATCTTTATAATTTCTGATGCATACCAATTTGCCGTTCTAAAGAATTCTTCTGCTTACATTTTCTGCCAATTTTGCCCTTTCTAAATCCTCCTGCAATGTAATATTTTTTATTGAGTACTAACCACATAATCAAATAATTGCAGTTCATGAACGTGATTGCTCAATCTTGCATAATGCATTGTTTATACATTTATTAATTTGCATATGAATTCAGTCTCAAATATACACTGAGTATATGCTATGTAACAGTATTATAAACACTAAGTAAATAGAATTTGAAAAAATGGCATTATAGTTCACAACAGTTGAAAATGAGACATTGGCGTCAGAGGAGGCGCGGGGAGAGTACGGTGCTGTGGTCTGAGCTAGAGGGTGAAGCTGTTGGAGCAAGAGCATGGGCGAGCAGTCTGAATGCCAGAATGGATAACCGTGTTGCTACAGCATTTGTAATTGCTTGTGTGCTTAGCTTCATTTCCACCATCTACATGGCAGCCTCAATTGGCACAGACTTTTGGTATGAGTATCGAAGTCCAGTTCAAGAGAATTCAAGTGATTGGAATAAAAGCATCTGGGAAGACTTCATTAGTGATGAGGCAGATGAAAAGACTTACAACGATGCACTTTTCCGATACAACGGCACAATGGGATTGTGGAGACGGTGTATCACCGTACCCAAAAACACACATTGGTACAGTCCGCCAGAAAGGACAGAGTCATTTGACGTGGTTACAAAATGCGTAAGTTTCACACTACATGAACAGTTCATGGAGAAATTTGTTGATCCCGGAAACCACAATAGTGGAATTGATCTACTTCGGACCTATTTTGGCGTTTGCCAGTTCCTCTTCCCTTTTGTGAGTCTGGGTTTGATGTGCTTTGGGGATTTGACTGGACTTTGTGCCTGTATCTGTCGAAGCTTGTATCCCACCGTTGCCACGGGCGTTCTCCATCTCCTGGCAGGTCTTTGTACACTGGGCTCAGTACGTTGTTATGTTGCTGGAATTGAACTACTTCGTCAGAAACCTGAGCTGCCTGAGAATGTGTCTGGTGAATTTGGATGGTCCTTCTGCCTGGCTTGCGTCTCAGCTCCCTTACAGTTCATGGCTTCTGCCCTCTTCATCTGGGCTGCTCACACCAACTGGAAAGAGTACACCTTCATGAAGGCATATCGTGTGGCGTGAATGGAAACTGCCAGCTTTACAATTGCCATTTTTATTATTTTTTAATACTGACATTTTACCTGGCCTCCCTCCCAGTTTTTAATTTTAATTTTCTTTGTGGATATACCATTTTATCTGGAAAATCCATTGAATTTATACATATATGACACTAGATAACAATACCACTAAAATTTATGTGGTTTATTCTGAGTGATTCCGTCATTTAAACACACTAATCTAAGTTCAGAGTCCAGACACAAAGACATGGATAGAGACTTGGCACAAATTTGTGAAAGAAAATTGGCAGCAGCAAATTGACCCAGAACAAATTCTGCTAATTCCTGTTAGCAAAAAAACTACAAAAACTACATCTTTACAGCTGGAAACTTTTCAGTTTCTTTGGGAAACCTCTTGTTATTGTTAGAACTTCATGTTTACTTTGCTGTTGTAGATAGCTAGTCAACCAGTGGTATCAGGGTTTTTTTAAGACCTGGGCTCCATAAAGTTGGGAAACTATCTAAAATCCTTTTCCCTAGACATTGGCACATGAGTTCCTTTGAAGTGAGATGTAGCAGCTATTTATACTTACACTGTGTCTGCCTATAAGAAAAGGAAAAAATACAGTGTTTACTTACATTTAATTTTTTTAAATAGATTTATTTATTTATTTATTTATTTAACAGATAGAGTTATAGACAGTGAGAGAGAGAGACAGAGAGAAAGGTCTTCCTTCTGTTGGTTCACTCCCCAAATAGCCGCCATGACCAGTGCTGCACCGATCCTCAGCCAGGATCCAAGTGCTTCCTCCTGGTCTCCCATGTGGGTGCAGGGCCCAAGCACCTGGGCCATCCTCCACTGCCCTCCCGGGCCACAGCAGAGAGCTGGACTGGAAGAGGAGCAGCCGGGACTAGAACCCGGCGCCCCTATGGGATGCCGGTGCTGCAGGTGGAGGATTAACCAAGTAACCCACAGCACCGGCCCCACTTACATTTAATTTTGTAACTGTAAGAATTTCAATTCAGCCAGACAAGAAGGTTGATCTTATTTTATTATTTAGATCTCTTCATTAGGATTTTCAGTGCTACCAAGCCACTTTGAATTTTTGCTCCTTCCCTCTTCACGCTAGGTTTTTTAAGACTGTGTTTTTTTTTAACTTTACATTAAGATTTCAGAGTAAATTCCCCAACTGCTTTTATTTATTCCAAGTACCATACAGAAGTGTCCACCACAAAGACCCTCCAGAGCTGGGTAAACTACCACAAGATCTAAAGCTTTATCCATTAACCTCCAAGAATGGTCTTTATTTCTAGTGGTGAATCTATGTGCCTTTCCTTCCCTAACCCCTTTCTGGTTTGTGTCAACATTATTTAATGTCTTCTAATTGAGTCATTTTTTATAAATATGTCTAAACATTGAGCTTTTAAAAATTTATTTATTCCATTACTGCAGCACTTGACAGATTTAAAAAAAAAATGTAAGAGTAATTTCTTACCATATCCTAAATCTGTCTTTTTTTAAAAAAATTAAATTAAAAATGAGAAGAGACTAAAAAAAAAAAAAGAAAATGAGACATTAAGACTGCAAGTGAAACATTTTGAAATTATTATTTTTTCTACTTAAGAACTTGTTGAAGACAGATACCTAAAAAGATGGTTTGGGGACCGGCGCCATGGCTCACTTGGTTAATCCTTAGCCTGTGGCACCAGCATCCCATATGGGCTAGAGGTTCTGGTTCCAGTTGCTCCTCTTCCAGTCCAACTCTCTGCTGTGGCCCGGGAAGGCAGTGGAGGATGGCCTAGGTGCTTGGGCCCCTGCACCCGCATGGGAGACCAGGAGAAATCACCTGGCTCCTGGCTTCAGATTGGCACAGCGTGCTGGCCATAGTGGCAATTTGGGGGGTGAACCAATGGAGGGAAACCTTTCTCTCAGTCTCTCTCTTTCACTAACTCTGCCTGTCAAATAAAAAAAAAAGATGGTTTGAATATTGATATTTAAGAAAACTAGGTTTTCTTTCTCTTTAAGTTTATTATTTGATTTTTAAATAATCAAATAATTGTAAATCTTATAATTTGGAAATAATATGATAAATTTTTAGTACTACTTTGGTTAATATCTACGAATATTTAGACGTGGTCCATTTTATGTCATCTTCTAAACAGGATCTTTGGTAAAACTTCCTTTGTTGTGTTGTGCTAAGTAAACTGCATTTTCATCTATCGACAAGGTATATGTACACAGTTATGCACAGTGACTGTGCTAATGAACTTTTACGGTTTTATCTGGTATTATTTTGTTGCCAATTCTCTGTAACCTCTTAGATTTTCATCTAGCCCGCATTAAAAGTTTATTTTACAGTATAGAATTTATATGTTCACTTATCTATTTGCTAGTGCCATACAACATGGATACTACATGAATCTGAATTTGGTCTTTGTTAGCCAATTCTACATTGTCTGGCAAATTGCATTTAACCACCCTAAAATATTTGTGAGATTAATGAAGAATGCATATGAAATATTTATTTTGAAGTTATTTGGAAAAAAGTGAGTGGTATTCCTAGGAACAGACTATTAGACTATTATGTCCCATTCTTATATTGAAATCAAGCAAAAGTAAAAAGAAAATATCATTATTGTTCTGACTGTTGATGTACAATTTAATACTTTATCCCTTTTAGTATTTTTTTGTTCTAGTTAATACTATTGGTTGAACTCTGCAATTAACACACAATTATTTTTATGTGTTTAAATTTAACTGAAAAGTGATCCCTGTTAAATATAAGAATGGGAAAAAGAGAGGGAGGAGATTACAATTTGGGACATGCTCAATTGGACTTGCCCCAAATGGTGGAGTTAGAAATGTGCCAGGGGATTCCAATACAATCCCATCAAGGTTGCATGTACCAATGCCATTTCACTAGTTCAAGTGATCAATTTCAGTTCACAATTGATCACACTGATAGGTCTAAGAGTCAAAGGGATCACACAAACAAGACTAGTGTCTGCTAATACTAACTGATAGACTAGAAAAATGGAGAGAACAATCCAACATGGGAAGTGAGATACACAGCAAACCCATAGAATGGCAGATGTCCTAAACAGCACTCTGGCCTCGGAATCAGCCCTTAAGTCATTTGGATCTGGCTGAACAGCCCATGAGAGTATTTTAGGCATAGAAAACCAAGACATTCTGGAAAAAAATAAATAAAAAAAAAAAACAGAAAAAAAAAAAACCCTAAATGAAAGATCTCTGTGAGTGAGATCCCAGTGGAAACAATAGGGCCATCAAACATCAAAGAAGGAGGTACCTTTCTCTGAAGAGAGGAGAGAACTTCCACTTTCACTATGACCTTGTCTAAATAAGATCGAAGTTGGCGAACTCAAGAGGCTTCCATAGCCTTGGCAACTCATGACTAGAGCCTAGGGAGATTACTGACGCCACAAACGAGAGTGTCAATATTTTAAGTCAACAACAGGAGTCACTGTGTACTTACACCTCATGTGGGATCTCTGTCCTTAATGTGTTGTCCAATGTGAAGTAATGCTATAACTAGTACTGAAACAATATTTTACACTTTATGTTCTGTGTGGGTGCAAACTGATGAAATGTTTACTTAATATATACTAAATTGATCTTCTGTATATAAAGAGAATTGAAAATGAATCGACGTGAATGGAATGGAAGAGGGATTGGGAGATGGGATGGTTGCAGGTGGGAGGGAAGTTATGGGAGGGAAAAGCCATTGTAATCCATAAACTGTACTTTGGAAATTTATATTTACTAAATAAACCTTTAAAAAAAGAAAATCTCATTGTTGTACTTGAAACTTCATTAAAAATTTAAACTTCTCATTCTAAATCTCCTATCTTCTAAAAGTTACCATTCATATATTGTTATGAGTCTAACACGAACTGTGATAAATGGCCCTCCATTCTTTAAGTCACCGTGTCTATTGCATGTTGTAGCAGTTGCTAGAGATAAGACATATTCACTGTGGCAGTGACTCCAGGGATCCTGTAGATATTCCGGGTGGTCACAAGAGTAGTTCTAGTTATTACAATGTGAATGAATGTGGGAGATCTGACTCTAGGTCATAGTATCTTAAAAAAGGGGGTGTACCTTCCACTTTTCCTCTTTCCTCCCTTCAATTTAATGCCCACTAGCCAGACATGCTTGCACACAAGTAGTTCATTGGGAAAAATTCTCAGGAGCAGTATTTGAAGGAGAATGAAGGAATCATGAGTGACAGGGGAGCTGAACATTTCTCTCTGCAACAGACGCTGTACTGGCGACTGAAGCCAATCCCACAATGAGTTCTCAGGTTGAATGACCTTTTAGAAAACAACAGCTGAGGCAATCCAAAGACCCTTTATAGCTGATTTTGACTTGTCATTGTTTCTTCTCCTCTGAGGCAAACCACTTTAGTTAAGGATTATTTTTTTCAGCCAAGAGCAATTTTTGCGAAATTCTTAGATTTCTGCTTTCAAAGACCAAGATTCCTGTTAACTGGAGAAATTTCTGTACTGCAAACTTAGAAGACCAGACTATTTACTATCTTTCTACCATCAAGGTGCAGGTTGTACTGGAGCTTGCATGAAGGGTACAATCATGTGACAGGAGACTGGTGGCTGCATTTCTCCATGGAGGGAAGCAACCCCAAAGCAAGCATTTAGCTCTCACGTGTTTTATCTGATGAAAGGCCTCAGTACAACTATTTATTTGATATGCATGTTTATGATAATTTGTTCAGAGATTTTCTAATATTTTTTCTAATATTTCCTCCCCCCATTTTTTAAAAAATGATTTCTGCCTTTCATGGAAAAGGGGTGAAAACTGCACAGAGCAATTATGCAGATGGCATAATGTTTACCAATGTTGCATGGAAACTCCTGTAAGAGGCTGTATTTCAGAAACATAATATCTGATGTCATTAATTCAAAATTACTGATCCCTGAGGGGTTCAAAACTACAAATTTTCTACTGGGACTGTTTTCATGTGAGGTATTGAAATCTGGTAATTCTATACATGTATTCAT